GAACAGGCACCATATTTCAGTGGCCACCAGCACAGACAGAATTAAGATCTGGGGGAAGGGGAGAGAGTTGGCACATCACATACCTGGTTATCTGAACCATCGCTTTCCACAAAGCAAGGCACCTGTGAAGGGGATGACACCATAACGGTACTAGGACAGGACAAACTCATACCAGAATCCCAGAAGGGGAAGAGCATTTGCATTGTTCATTTTTTGTTGTCGCCTTGGAGATTACTTCAGTTTCTTGACTCAGATCTTATGTTGGTTCATAATACATTTTTGCAGAGAGATACAGCTTTCTCATGGCTGCCTTTTCTTCCTCCTTTTTGTAATCCCTGGTTGGCAGCTGAAGCGGTCTAACATTTCTATATAACTGATAAAAGAAATTATTGCCAATGAGAGAATTGTTTCTTGAGTACATCCCTCCCCTTGGGTTAAATATAGGTTGCAGCATCCCGGTATAATGAAAAGATTGGAAAGCATTTACTTGCTGGTGTGGTTTCTGCTTTGTAGTAATGAAGTAAAACATTCATGATTGTGAAAATCATACCTGCAAAGACAAGTTTAGTCAGCCTCCGCCTTACTGTATTCAGTCCATACACTAAAGTATTTCCCATTTAAACCAATCCTCCAGCCTTTGCGTTTTATTGCCTTGTGATGTGTTGTTGGCTACAGCGTACTGGTTTATTATCTTACCATGTGCACTGCAGTACTCACACTGGTTTTGTACTGCAGGATTGCACAAGGTGCTGGACCAGGAATGTCCAATCCTTGTGATTATAAAATAGGAAAGCAAATCTGGAGAGGTTTTACCGCTGTGTAAAGTTAGATCTGTATTGTATTGTTGTTGCCAAAGACATTTGATTTAGAACATACAATTTGCAGTTGCCATAAACCCTTTACTTTGTAACCTGAAATCATCTATATCCCTAGGATGAAAATCTTTAGATTCAGAAAGTGGTTAAAATTCAAACTGTAAAATAAAGCCTGAGAAACATTTAGCCTTTCTAATTCAAACATAATCTCCATATCTTTTCTACATATGCACATGTATGCACATGCATTCTCAATCTTGCATATACATTCACAAGCTCACACATTCACAAGCTCACACACACATTCACAGGCACTCTAACACAAGAGAATGTGTTCTGCAGTATAGCTGGTACACAGGGTATTTTTGAAGACAGAACAAGATGACTGTAAATTGACACTTCCACCCACTAATGAAAGAAAGCCAAGAAAACCTCAGTAGAGAATGAGTTTTATAATTAATGCTGAACAATTTTCATTGACAAAGCAAAAAGAAGCAAGTGGATGGCTGATTTAAATGTTGAATGATTAATGCACAGAGAGGCGGCTGAGGAAAAAGACAAATTCAGGAGCAACTATGGAAATTTATGTATGAGAGAGTCAGCACCATATTCTGATCTCAGTTACACAGTTGTAAATCTGTTATCTTAATGGAAGTATTCAGCTTTTATATTTGCATAGCATAAGTGAAAATAGAATTTAACCCAGAATGTGTTTGCAATTGTGTATTTGCGTGACTGAAAGAGATGCGTATGTTTGCATGTGATAAACTGCAAATGCATGAGACTTTTTGTATCTCGTGGTGAGAAATGTAGAACATGAATGTGTGTGTGATTGTGTATGTGTGTGCCAGTTGTGGGGCTGTCTGACAGTGAGTGGGAGGGTGAGAACGTGTTTGTTCCTAGACTCCCTGGTTGAGTGAAAATGGCTCCTGGAAATGCCGTTTCAGATTAGAGAGCGACGGCTGGAGAGGTGGAGATTTCATTACCTCCTTCTTTATGTGATGTTTTGGAGCTGGTAATGTAAAAGCAGAGCTATAAATAATCCAGTCACACCTGTGGTGTCCTCGAGATTTATAGTGCCTGCTAATGCCAGAATCTTTGGAGTGTTTAAGTGAGCAAAGCAAAATGAGGAAAAATCACCCCTCAAACACCAAGGGAATGCAGAACCCACCTGTCTTTTCTCATGTGCTAGGCAAGAAAAAAATTATTCTTCCTACCAGGTTTATTCCTAAATTTGTATGTAATGCCCATCACCATATACAGTGCTCTCGCTCATGCTTGCCTTGAGGGCTGGGACTGATCACCACCTGCCTTGGGTGTGTGTGCTGGGAGAGGAGGATGTGGAGGTCGCAGGCAGCAGTTTGCTGTGTGCAAGCTTTTGAGATGCAGGGGCTGTATTTTTAGCTGCTCCAGATTCTCTCCTGGCTGGGATATGATGCTGAGGAGTTTATTGCCGTAAGGATGTGCCTAGAATACCAGGCAGCCTCAGAAATTTACTGTGCCGCAGAGCCCTGACTCAGTGCTGCTCTGTGACTTTCCTGTGTTGCTTCTGCGCTGTAAAGAGAGAAAAAATGGTTCCTTGTGTTCCCGGCTGCTGCTGGCGCTGGAGGGACAGCTGCTGTGATTTAGTGAGAAGCCCTGTTGAAGGGAAGGACAGCAGTTCTAGATCTGGCTAAACTGTAGTTTGCTCAGTTAAGCTGCCCTCAGATTTCTTCTTGAACATTATACTGCAGTTTTGTCTGAACAGTAGGAATAAACACATGCTGCCTTTAATTTGTGCATGTCTCTAATGCCCCTGCAAATAGTTTTTTGCAGCCCTACACACTAAATGCTTCCAAAATGCCAGAAACATTTCACAGGTAGTTTCTCTGTGTGGCATTTTAGGGGAGGATGTAGAGAGATGGCCATGGGTGGATTTCTGTACACCTGGCTGCGAGAAAGGTGGACAGCCAGCACTCCAGCAGCCACAGGGGTAAGAATTTGCTAGGGATAGTCCCTATGGTAAATCCTGTAGAAAATGAAATTACATTCATGGTTCTTCTGTCCCACTGGTGCAGGTGCACCTGCAGGTTTGAAATGGTGGTTTCTATCTCAAAACCCACCTGAATTGTGACACCCAGTACATATGCAAGGTAAATTTCTATATACAGAAGATCAGCAACTGACTTCTTGACAATCTAAATGCTAAGGAGAGTAGCTTGTCCCTTACGAGTCTGGTGAAACAGCATAAAGGCTAGATGAAGAAAGATTATTTGTACCATCAGATTTTTTAGAAATGAGAAACGAGTATGACCTAGCAGGTCCCAGTTCGTCTGCTTGAGAAACACCATGTATTCTCCTGGCGTTTGGCTGTATCATACTCCTCAGGGAGTGGGCTTTCCTCCATCACTGCCCGGAGACTGGAAATAAGGAGCTGAAGCCCGTCTGCCCTTGCTCTATGCCGAGCTCTGCTCGAGGCTCCCTGCTGCCCCCTTGTTGCTGGAAATAACACTGGAAATACGGCGGACTACTATTTACACATTGTGATGTGAGCTTGACTAATATCCTCACATTTGGGGGAAAATCGTAGACCTCACATAGGAATGTCTGTCTCATTGCTGTGGTATCCAGAATAATAAATACAGCAATCGCAGCTGTAATGCCTAGTGCTTGTCTGAACTGCTGCAATCTCGAAGCACAAACATGAATGAGGGGCAAGCTGTAGAGGCGAGGTTCATAGGCAGAGGCAGTATCTTTTTTCAACTTTTTAGTCTTGCGAAATACAGACGAGCTTTCAGCCATACAGGCTCTCCCATCACATGCTTACTTTTCTTGTGTGCTTAGGTCACCACTGCTACAAAAATCTACTGCTCTAGTAAATGCTGGAGAGTGAGCCTGCAGTGACAAGTGTTTCCTTTCCAAAGTGGCACCACCAAATGCCACACACACAAAGCTTGGAGCAGCTCTGTGTGGGTACAGGATAGCTTGCATTTTAATTTTGTATTATTAATTCTTTACTTTCCTTGGGTCAGTAGCTCTCAAAAGTTGTTGCCATCCACATTGTCTACAAGAAATCTATTTGAAATTATTTTAGTAGCTCACAGCTCAGTCCCTGCTTGGTTTGCTGGTTGGTTTCCCTTCTGAAAAAAAAAATCAAATTGTATTCTAAATTGCTCCTTGTTTGCAAAGGCCAGTGGCTATGAATGGGAATTGGAGAATGAACTCTACTCTGTCCAGTCATGAATGGTAGCCAGGTCAGGGCTGAGCTGCATTGGCAGGAGGCAGTGATGTGGGAAGCTTGCCGTGCCATTATCTATTCTGCAGACAAGCAGTGGATTTAATTCTCAGAGGATCTCAAGCCTATAATAAAATCTCAATGGGAATAAAAAACCCTGACCCAGAAGGCGGTGGCGTGTTCTACTTGTCCTCCATAGTCAGGAGTGTAAGTGTGGCTGTGCATCAAGGGAGCTGTGTGACAATTTTGTGGAGCCTGGGTAGCAGAAGAAACCCATCCCCCAGTGTTCTGATGGAGTCTGAGAGTTACGTATTTATACTGCTACTGAAAAACAGAAGGAAAAATTGGAGTGTCTCTAACACGTGATCTGCAGAAAAAAATACACATTTGCATGTCTGTATTAAGCAAGGAATCTTTGCTACTAAGGGAATAGTGGTGTGTATGCTTCTTCCCTCTTGCATGCTGCTTTCTAGGCCCACATCCATGAAAATGTATTGAAAACCTGGCATTTTTCTTCAGCTGGCATTTCTGGGTGACCTCATGCACCTACTTCTCATCTCAGTAGTTTTAGTTTCAGTGTTCCTCCTTAGGTTCATTAAGAAAATACTTTTCATCTGAAGAAAGTAAGGTGTCCTGTGGCCTGCAGTGCTCCCCACAGCCAAGCCAGTAAAAACAGAGCCCCAGTGTGCTTTCTGAGGGTGCAAGGGTGATTCCAGCACACTTCTGTCCCTTTGAAAATATGAGAAATGGGTCACATCTACAAAAAGTGACAAAACCCCAATCACAGTGACCTTCTTCATTTGAGGATTTTTAGAAGGATCTTTGGAAGGTGATTCACTTAAAAAAAAAATCTTGATTTTTAATAAATCACTGCTTTTAGAGGATTCTGAGAGGCAGAGGTGAAAATCTGTTTCCCTTTAGTTTTGGGGTTTGTAGGTTTTTCCCCTGCAAATCTCTTTTTAATCACATGTGCACAATCTTGTTATTAGAGAAGCTGCTGGGGACTCCTGAACCTTTTGGCACTAATGTTGTATGTGCCTGTTTTTTTTATAAAGGAAAACGAAATGGAAGCTATTATCTGAAATGAGCTTTCATCGTAGCAGTGAGGCGGGGAGCAGCTCAAATATATTAACACAAAATGTGAGACAAATATTGCCTCCTCCAAGCCAGCTTCTGACCTCGACAGTGAGAGCTTTCCACTAAGCTGGCTGTTTACAGCCCCTGCTCCGGCATCCATCTTGGGGTTTGTGGGATGTAGTTTCCATTCCTGTTACTCCATCTGATCGGGCACGAGCAGCATACATTCCTCTGCCTTCAACCACATCCCCAAGGTACGCTGACATCTCTCTTCTCTCCCACCCCCCCCACCCCACCCGGCGTCTCCCAGCCCACCGAGGAAGCTGGGAGAACGACTTATAGAACAGGAGGGGGCCTGGAGCCCGGGAATCACACTGCTGCTCTGTGTGGAAAGCTAAATTTGGGAAGCAGGATTTCTCCTGTATCGCCAGGCCTGGGTGGGCAGCACCATCTCTCCGTGACTCTGCAAAGCAAATTAACTCAGTAGCGTGAGCTCGCCGGCTCTTCCTCCCCTTTCCCTCCCCTCCCAGGGAAAAAAGCCACCAAGTGCGGCAGCAGGAGCTGATTCAGGCCACCAGTGTTTGGTCCCTTCAGAAAATGGGGCTGGGAGGGATGATGGAGGAGGGGTTGCAGAGCGTGCTGCTGACCTGCTGAATTATGACTTTAATGCAGTTGCTTTAATAACTTGCTGTAGCTCCAACCACCAGATGCAATTTATGGCAAAGCAGGCGCCCAGGCATTTTTCTTTCTATGAAGACTAAGCAGATCTCTGATTACCACCCCCTCCCCCCAACCCATTACCTTCCCCCGCTTGCTCTGCTAATGGAAAAATGTTATGTGTCTGTGTGCTTTTTCCCCAAGCCCTGCTTTCAGGAAATGGTGGAGAATGAGAAACTAACACACACACGCACACACACGCATTTGCAGGAAAGATCGCTTTTACTCTTCGTTCTTAAACCACGCAAAATTTCTCCTGCTAGCAGAATTGATGGTTCTTTTTCTAAAACCTTACGACCTCAGCCAGAAGGGAGGCAAATTCCAGGATTGATTTGTAGGGAAAAAGAAAGACCCCCTCCCTCTGTCTGACCAAAATCATCTGAAGTCTGAGTGATTTCACTGCATAATGCAAACCCCACTGCCTCTCAGATCTGCCTTCTGTAAGGAGGGCTTGAATACAGCCCCCAAACAAACAAAAAAGCTCAACCTGGGAATGATGAATAGGCAAACCAAATTCAAGTTTTAATTTTGTATTTGATGATTGTATACAATAGATGAGTGCCTTAAAAAAGCAATGAACAGATAGGCAGGCAGATACCCTGTCAGTTCTCCTATTTTAAAGACCCATTCATTTACCATCTAAGGGATGAATTCTTCTTCCCACTCTCCTTCTCTCTCTCCTTTTCTGTGATTTGCATGATCATTTGATGTGTATATTATGAATTACTGTTTATCTTAGTCCACAGCATCAAAGTAATTTCCCAAATAAATTTCACTGGATCAATAAACCTGGATTCTGTTTTCTTTTCTAAACTGAGGGAAAGAAAAATAGTAAGAAGTAAATGTTTTATTTTTAGCCAAATGGAACAAAAATCTGAGTTAAACAGATGTGCCCATTTCTGAATTCTGAGGGCTCACACAGAAGCTCTGTGATTCAACTGGTTTGTATCTTATTTTTCCTTCCCCTTGCCCATTCCAAAAAACACGTATATTTAGAACTGCAGCCCTGAAAAATGGCATGTACTGCTTTGAACCCATTGAAAGGGTGTCCATACAAGGCATTGCAGATCAGTCCTTTGTGGCTGTTAAATATTTATCAGCAAGGCAAATTCCTCCTAGGTTACAGCAAGTACAGTTTGCAATGACCTGCCTCTGCGCTTTCAAAAATGAGTAGGAGACTCCTGCAAAATGTCCAGCTCCTCATTCAGCCAGAATAGCGTTTTTTCTCACAAGCTTTGAGATAGCTAGATTCATATGTAGCATACACTGCGAATTTCTTAGTAAAGAAGTAGCAACATTTGGGAGCATTCAGCTTCCAGATAGAAGAGTATAAATTGGCCGTTTCTATGTGAATTCGGTCTGATGTGTCTGTCTAGCTGTTTTTACAGTGAGCTGCCCTCAGCCTGCATCAGGATCACATTACTGTCTCCAGTACCAGGAGATGCACCTGCATGCACACGCTCAATTGCACAGGTATTTCTTTTAAGTGTGATGAGTTGTCTTTGAACAATAGAATTTATCTCTGCTGACTACAGAGGGAGCCGAGACCAGATTCCTGACTTTTGGAGGGCTAGAGTTAGGTGAAATGAATCTTTGCTCAAGCATTCAACCATAGCTCCTTGGCTTGTGCCGTTAGCTTCCTGAATTCCCAGATGATCTCCCCACCACAGCTTAGCCAGGCCTGGAACTGCTTATTTTCTCAGAAGGGATGAGATGAGATGTAGTTAGTTCAGCAAAGCCATTGGCATTTCAAAATTATATGTAAAAGCATGTATTGTACTCTTATTTTTCAAACTATGCCATAAATATGCTTAATACTTAACAGGCTGAAAGCATTCTCTCCAGTTGTGATCATTTAAAAAAATCATATTCAAACTTTTGTAAAGCCATAATAAAAAGCATCCATACAGTGATCTGTAAGTCAGTTGTACCTGCACACATCAGAAAACAGATGCTTTAATGTACGCTTGCTGCCGACGGGGCAGTACCCAGGGCAGGTATTTCTGAAGGTGCCTTTAGGCCGGGAGAGGCTGGCCGAGGGGTCGGGGGTGGCTGGGCTGGCCCCCGAGCCACTTCATGTTGCTGATTTGCCCAGGGTGGCTGTGCAAGAGCTGCGTCTGAGTCTGGAAACTCAGGGAGTTAGTATGTAGCCACGAAATTGTGTGGAGGTTATTAATGGCAGTGGCACGTGACTACAGGTATGCTTTGTGACAGTAGAGCTCATTCCGTAGGCTCCTCTGATTCTGCTGTTTTTCTTTTTTGAACCTGGCCTTTGATTAAAAATGCCTCGCTTCCAGCTCACATTGCCTTTTAAATGGCTCTGCAAAGCCCTCTCGCGGTTCCCAGCTCACATCAGAAGCAGGGCTGGAAGTGTTTCACTGCAGAATAAACATATGGGCTGTAAATCCTGTGATTCAGAAGATTCGCCTGCAATATTCCTCTCTGCTGTTGCCATAGGTAACCGGGCTCTGCAAAACACCATTTACCCTGGAATGCAAGGAGACAGGGAGCTCAGCAAGGGCACTCCAGTTAACCCTTTCCTAGCAAAAACCAAATCCCTCTGGTGATCCCAGCAGAAACTGCTCCTCGCTCTTACGCGCGTAGATTTACACACAAATAAACCCGCACCATATAATTTAAGGCAAACTCCTGAAACGCTGGCGTAAGCCCCAGGCATATGCACATAAACTCTGTGGGAACGGTGCGTTTCTTCTCATACCCCTAGAGCCGGGTAGACATTGAACATGTGCGGGTGCTGCGCGTTCAGGACTGCTGACTCACCGGCCTTGCGTGGCTCACTGCCCTCTGCCCTGAGCCCCGGGGAAGGGGTTAAGCTTCTCTAGCGGCAGGAGATAAAGGAAGGCAACTGAATCGGACTGCTCTGCAGTCCAAATCCAAGGTTTGTGAAGTGGTATTTGTCAAATTACTTAAGACAAGGCCTTAGAGAGGAAGACTTTTGAGTTCACAGACACCACAGAGATTTTTTTTTTTTGTAACTGACAGGAGGTGCCTATGGTCTACAAGGTTTTACCAAGGCCACCTAATTGGAGACCTATAAGATTGGAGTGCAAGACACACCCTTATTTCCTGCCTCACACCATTTTTCAGCCCAGGCACTCTTAACATCTCCTAATGGCCTGTCTTCTATTCCATCATCTGAGGCACTGAAAGTGGACAATCAATAGTTTTATCTTCATGGGCTGTGCCTGGTACAGGATGTGGAGAGAGGCCGTGATGTTGTGCTTCAGCCAGAGGATGTGCAGGCACAAGACCCCTTATGCTCAAAGGGGTCTTGCTAAGTATAGTTCTAACTATAGTATAAAGTCCTTCCTGCCTTATGGACCGAGTAACCATCAGATGCCTTGGAGCTGTCTCATGCACTTGAGAAGATACCTGGGGGGTATGTGTGTATCTGTATTACACATTAAAATGGAAACCATGCTTAGTACACATATATTGTCTATGCATAAATATCCATACAAGAATCTGACATGTACATTTGTGTCACCAAACTGTTACACAGAACATGTTGGATTCATTCATTGGATACAGTCATATGTCACTCTACAACAAATTAAACAGATGGGAAGAGAGTTCAAGATGAGCTGAATTTGCATTTGCTGCAGTTTAGGAGAACAGGAGCAGAAAGTGGCCCCCAATTTACTTTTTTACTCCTTTAATTCTGACCTACCTGTGGGCTAATGTGGATCCCAACAGAGTGGAAGAGGCCAAAGCGATGTACTATGCCTGAACCCTGTTTGTTGCTGCAGTTCCAGCAGCAATGCTGCCCAAGGAGGATGTGTGTGCGAAGAGTAAATGCATAGTCCTGAGTTCAGGCAATGGTTAATTTATACTGCAGAGGAGCTACAGGTGAGACTGAGGATATGTGTCATTCCCCAGTTTCACAAATCCCCTTACAAAAACCCTAAACATGTTGTATTTCAAACCACTGTTGTCTTCTTCCTCGTATTCCCCTCTGCAGTTCAATGCACACACATACGCCACCAAAATACTATTTTTTTTAATAACACAGTATTGATCTAAGGTCATCTACAGATAGGTAAAAATGCAAAATTCCTGCTCCAAAGAGTTAACCACGTTGGTTACTTTTACATCAAAAGTCTGATGGGAATACAGAGAAGTCAGGAAATGTGGATAAAGCTGAAATTACATTCACAGGAGATCTTGCAGTGGTTGAGAATCACAGCCCATGCATGGACAAGCCTGTATTGAGACTGCTGTAATCCCTGGGCAGAACGGGGGGGAGTGAAGGAGAGGTCAGTGTGCTTTGTGGGATTCTCTGGCATTACTAGGGCAAGGGGAGTTAGTCCCTCTCTGTTATTTGAACAGTGAGCAAGTATTTTTTACAGGGTCTTTTTTATGTTGCTAGAATAAAAAGAACAGTCAAGAGAAAATGACCCCAAATCATTAGGGGATTGATGTCTGTGGAAAAGTGCAATACAGAATCAAATTGTTTTCCTGCAAAATCCTTTTTTTCATGGCTTGTTTCCATGCCACCACAAAGAAGAATGGTGAAGAAAAGGGCTGATGTGCAAGGAAAAGGGGCTTTTAAAGATTCCCAAGAAGTACTGAATGGGTGTTGCTGATTCAAATTCTCCAAATTGCTGTTACATCAGTCTGGACAGTGGAGATAAACTGTCAAGAGAGCCTAAAAGCCATGGTGCAGTGCTTGAAAACATGTTAATATTTGTGTGTGCTTCAGTTTTCTGGATTTACAGGATTTATTTTGCATACTCCCTTGGCACTGCCAGAGCCTCTCTGCAGACGTAACACTTGATCCTCTGTTGTGCCAAGTCCCCTGGGAGCTGTTGCTGTCTAACTCCCGTGACATTGTGGGTACCTGCTGAGGTGTTGGGGACAGGTTGTGTGGGTGGGGAAAGGGGAGCATGAGTAGGTCAGAAAAAGGGGTGCCTGCGGGGCAGAGCAGAGCGGTAACTGGGCAGGTTGTGTCTCACCCATCACCTGAAGGTCCGAAAACCACTGAAAGCGCTGAAGATGCACAGGCTGGAGCCGGTTCCTTTTCCTGGGTTTATATGATTGCCTTGAGTCAAGGGTATTTAAATGTCAAGTTTTTATGTAGCTCCTAAATTTACTTAGATTTGCATGTTTACAGCAGAAGGTTTGTGTCCTTGTGCACTCCTGTCCGTGTATATGAATGATAAATGCCAAGGCTTTCTTTTGGGGCTTGTGTTTTCCCACAGCTGTGGTGACACACTCACATTGTTTAACCTTCTCCCCATGAGCTGATTTAAGTTTATTTCTTTTGGAAGGGAAATATCAGAGCATAAGCAGGCCCAAATCAATTTTCTTTGAAGACTGCGGTACCTGGGACTGCAGAAACAGTGACAAAGACGAGCTTGTAGAAGAGCTGCTAGATGGGAGCTCAGGCAGGAAAGGGTTACTGCCTGCACAGCTTTCTCTGTCTGCAGCTCCAGGCAAAACCCAGAGAGAGACAATGATGTCAGCACTACCTCCAGGCCCAGGGCCCCTTGCCTGACAATGTGGGCAATCCAACACATTCCCATCTGCCACAACAAGAGCATTCATGCTCCTATTTCCTGACCTCTTTGGATTAAAACATGTGGAGTTAAATATACATCCAGCCCCATGCTCATGCACTTGCATTGCACCAGAAATAGACTTATGGGAAACTGGCTGCAGCTTTTGCCACCCGACACTCGGGATCTGTGTCAACGTTGTCATCGAGAAATGCACACGTTGGTCTGGTCGGGAGATTGTACAGTCATGCACACATAGCTAAAATACAGTTCGCTTTTGTGCCTTGCAATGCTGCGTGTAATCAGCACGCAATGAGAAAGAGCGGAGGGGGAAGGGGCAGCTTAAAGAGAAAATGAAGATTAGTCAGAGGCAGTGATTTCAGCCTTTTAACCATATGAAACTGGCTGAGATTTTTAGTACCGCATAAAAAATTCTGACAGCAAAGACAGACCTTGGCCGAGCTGGGTGTCTGCACTCAAGGCTGGTGGAAGAGGGAGACCGTGCGGCAGCCGTTGCTCGCTGCCATGCTGGGTGGCAGGGAGCAACAGGGAGCACAGCTCTGAAGAGGAGAAGCTTTTTATTTGCTTTACAGTGAAGCTGGTCTGGTTGTTCAAAATGCTAGTAATAGAAGGATTTTATTGCTGCTTTTACTCACGATGCCTGGGGGTGTCTGTTTCACACACATGGGTATCGTGTTGTTTCTTTTTCACATCTGTGTCTGCTGCGTATCTGTGCCTGTATACCCATATGTATCTGTGTGTCTCCACATTTATCTGTCATTCTATGTCTGCATTGCTCAGTCTTTTCCTTTTAAGTGTAGGAGGTGCATTTCTTCCTGTGCACAGATGAATTTTCCTTTACTATACAATAAGGGGAAAGGCAGTGCAGGGATAGCTCACATTTTGTTTATGTCTTGCTTGACAAAGGCCTTCACAATTCAGAAATATGAATGAAGAAGAAAATGAGACTATTTCTTTTCTGTACTCTCTTCTGTCTACAGTCTTTTGTCTTCTCTTCCCCGCCATTTCTTTTCTCTACTTTTTCCCCAATCAGACTGCAAACTCTTGCTCCCATAACAAATGTTTTAAATGTAATCTATCCTGCCTGCACAAACAGTCAGGCCCCTTTTCATAGCGTGTTTCTTATACAGTCTTCTCTTTCTTTTTTTTAACACATAGTGGGCCTCAACATAGTAAATTCCTGTGGGCAGTTTGGTTTAGCATCTCTCTCCTTCATTTGGCCCCTGCCTATAGCACTCAGATTCTCAGAGAGCACAACACAGGGAAGCAGAACAAAAATAAGCTCCCCAAAATCTGTAGTCCCCCAATGGCTCACAAGAATCTTGGAAGAATGTTTAGCTTATAAAATCCTAATCGGGTGCTTGGAGGGGTGAGGCCAAATGGTTAATGTAGGATAAAAACTGCAAACCTCTTAATTCTCTTAGTGTTTGGCTTAACCTTGCCTTGACTCTGAAGAGATGGCAGTAAGTAAGGATGAGCTTGTATTAGAAATAGGATTCTCTCTTTCTGCCCAGCCCCTGCCATTCCAGTTCCATTATTACAGGGCATCAGTGGTACAAACTTCTCTACCAGTTTCTGTCGATGAAGGTTTGGAACCACCTCACTTCTCAATTAGTGTAATCAAGGCCAAGACCCTGACATCCTTCCCAAGAGCTTCCTCCCCTTTGTGAAACAGAGGATACTGAAAACCAGTCAGAAAAATTAGATCCAGACAGTAGCAAGCACTGAATGTCACTGGTGGCACAATAAGGAAGTTGCCTCTAGTATCAGGCACTCTAAATGAGGCATACAGACAAGTGGTAATACGCATAATGTCTGACATCCAGCTATTTCAGAGCATATAATAAGCTGTGATTAAAGTATTAAACTAAAGAACTTCAAAGGGGTCTGTCTGTGCAGTCTGGGGATCTACATGCAAGAAATCTCTGGTCCTTTTTCCATGTTGGTACCTGATTTGCCACTGGTCTGTATGCTTTAAACTAGTCATTTCACACTGATCTTTAATTTTCCCGTCTGTAACACCAGGGGTTAATATACTTAAGCAGAGCAGTGCCTCTTACAAAGTTGTTTTGAAGGAAGTGGAGACTTCTTGCAGGAGACTCTCTGTAAAGACACATTTGATAGGAACTTACATGCCAGTTCAAAGTTCTTTGGGAGCAAAGTGGAGGAAGCATGTTCAGCATGAGATCATCACTGAGCTCCTCCATGAGGATCTGCAAGTGCAGGGGAAATACAGTGTTAAAACCAAGAGCCCTGAGTAGTTTTCAGGGACCTTAATTAGGCTGCAGAATGTAGGAAGAGTTAGGTTTGCAGTTTTGGACTGAGACACATGCAATGCTTACTATCCATTCTTGGTGCCCCATGGATCTCTGCTTTTGCTACTTGTCTCAGTTTCATACACAATGTCAGTGAAATAGATGAGAACAGAAGCTCTATGTCCTGACACCCCATCTCTTGCCAAGAGTACCAGACTGGGCACCAAAAATGTGGATAATATGTCTCCAGGTTCCCTTGCTTTGATTAGGACCATTATTTTAATGGGGGAGGGGTTTAATTTTTCCATAGAAATCAAGCAGTTTCTCTGTGTTTATGGCTACACATGTATCTAATAGGGCTTTCTTACCCCAGATGTGAGCAGCCTTGTGAGAAGTGCTCAGCAGCTGTTTTGGAGTGGGGCAGAGGAAGAGAGGAAGCCTGCAAGTCACATCCTCCTGACTGCCTTCCCCTTCACTGATGTGTTCAGTCATGCCGCCCAAAAGAGCCATTTGGGAGACTTGAGAATGTATGCAGCAAGTGCTCCTTTTCATTTACGATTAAGGTAAACAAGGGTGTCAGCTGAAGCAGAGCTGCTGAGGTGTTCTGTGCATTTCAGTGCCAGGCAGTAGTGGCTGCTGCTTAGGAGATGGATTTATTAAGATTATTAGTAAGTGTTATTTGGAGGTGACTGAAATCGCTGGGTGAACTCCAGAGGATTAGCTTTCCAAAGATAGCAAATGCAAAAAAAAGCAACCCCAAACAAACAAGCCACCAGTACCAGTTGTGTTTATTTAATAAAGTCTCTGCACAGGATTAGCTCACAAGCATTTGCTTGTTTTTGTGACTGGAGATACGGGGGATGGGAAGGAGGAACCATTTTAGCATTTAATTCCCCAAGTAAAAACAAAGCTGGGGCACAGCCTCTGGCTCAGTTCACAGAGTAGGTGACAACCTGCTGGGAGCCAGGTAGGCAGAAGAGGAATCACCTCTTCCTGGATTGCACCGGATAGTGCAGCAACTCTGATGCAGAAATAACTTGGATGAGGAGGGCTCTCTGCTCAGGAACCATCACGTCCCTGTATTAAGGGCACGAGAGCCTTAGGCAGGGCATTGTGCTGACCGAAGCCTGAGAAATGGCCTGTGGGAGAAAGAACAGCAATCAAACCAGTCATCTCCTGTTCTCTAGTGAGGCCATAAAAGGGCCTCAGAGTGCTTGTAGACATGAATTCACCAAATATCACCCCCACAAGCACATCCTTGCGGGATGGAGGTTGGTGTTACTAAGCCCAGATGGCAAACTGGAGGCAGTGAGAGGGTGTCCGAGGTCCCACAGAGAGCAGGCCAGATGGTAACACAGGGAAGGTAGCAAGAGGGGAAGACAAAATCAGGAGGAAAAAGCCATCCTTCAGAGAAAACTGAAGGGAAAGGGGCTGTAAGGACCAATGTAGCCGATATTTTAACGTTGTTTTAGTGCCTAGATACAGTTCCTAGATCAGTTCCTCTAAAACGCTGCTGGTTGGTGGTGTTGAATAAATGAGTCAGTTCTGTAGTACAGCTTGGCTGTCCCTGCTTCTGTGCTGCTGTCCAGAAGTGGGGCCATGTGGGAGCTTCCCACTTACCCTTCAGCCTTCCCCAGCATTGCACTACCAAAATTGTGGTCACCCAAAGGAGAAGTTATCTTGCATTGCTCTTTAATGATTCATTGGGGCCCCTTTGCAAAGTGGCAGGAGAGACTGAGGGATTCTGTTCAAGCCAAGGTACTGAAAAGGGGACTGTGAAGCCCAGTGCCCTTGCAGTTTCCAGTTAAACTGTTGTTTTTTTTTTCATGAGAAGCTGCTTGCTTGTCTCCTAAATCCACAGAAGTTGCACTGGCTCCTCTTCCCTCCTTCAAAAAAAAGTCCCTTGTGCAGAACTGGGCCTGGTTTCCTATTGCCTGTGCTTCCCAAGACTTCCCTAGGCACCATGACAACAGTAGCAAAACTCCTGGATTTTGTAAACCTGTTCAGACAGGAAAGACCTTTAATTTTACACAGTCGCAGAGCAGAATAGGATCTATGAATATAATTTAGCAACCTCATTCCTCAGGAATAAGCTATCACAAGTGGAAAAAGGAGGAGGGAAAGGCTGCAACTCACTCAAGTGGAAGAAACGGGGTGGGAACCCAGTGGTGAAGTTTATACTGAGTGGACAGAATCATCTGGTAACCTGTGTGCTTAATCCCATGCTGAGATTGAAGGATATGTCAGCAGTAACTAAAATAGAAGCTAAGTGGGAGGTATAGAGTCCTGGATCCAAACTACCCAGCTTTTACAGGAGACGGCTTTGGTGCTAAAATTTGTGTTACTGAAATCCTTGATTCCTACTAAAGAGAAAGTAAGAGAAAGTTGGACTAAGTGGCAGAGGAAGAGGGAAGGAAAAAAAAAAAAAAAGAGGGAGAAAGGGAAAGAGACTGTAGCATTTCAGAGTCATGTCCTCATCTCTTTCTGTTGGGCTCCAGATTTTTGATAGCAATCATAATTTCCACATGAGAAGCTGATGGTTGAAGAAGCTGTTTTCTTTATTAGATAAAATGAAAGTACCCACATCAAAATAAAAAAGGCAGGGTTTTCCTTTTCCATGAGTTCTTCATGCATTAGAGAAATGTCCTCTATTCTCAAGAAAGGAAACAAAAATTGACATTTATTTTGAAAACTGGAACACATTTTGCAGTAGGAATAAAAGGTAGTACAGGACTGTTTTTTTCCAACCCTTGATTTACAGAGCAGTCCAAGGAGCTTATTTCTTTCACTCTCTGAAGGGGGTCAAGCAGGTGCAGGTTGCAATGCTGTGGTGGTAAATAGATGGGTCCTTAACTGAGGCCCTAGATGGAATTCTAGAGGATCTCACTCATCCAGACAGAGAGAAGTGCTGTGGCACATATCTTACTGCCAGGCTATGTGATCCCATCCAATGTATAGGAACTTGACTCTATGCCTGTGTGTGACTGATTCGCAACATCTCCAGAAAAAATCAAGCTCCTTTAGTGAGAGTCATTTTGCTCTAATTTACATCAGAGAACCCAGCACCCTGTGACTGGTGACATCAAAGGTGGTTTAAGGCCACCTCTGTCCTTGGACTTCATACATACATAGAGTATAGCAAAGACTAAGGGTCTGTCTCTGTGATAAATATCCACTTTTATGGGACTGTGGCCATGAGTCCAATCTAACATTATAAAGTAATTTTCTGTGGCAATTCAGATCCCAACTTCATCACTCTCATCTTTCTCTCTATCATCTGATATATTTTAGTGTTTGGTCTTATGCCTATTATGGAGAGATTGCAATGAACTGGATGAGGCATTTAATAAAAGAGATGTCTGGAAAGTGAGAAGGTTTTTATCTCTGAAAAAGTCTTCCAGTGATTTGTTGGAACATCCTATGTCAAAATGGGTTTGGCATAGAAGGGCCACATTTGTGTGATTTGTCCTCAACAGAAATTAGAACTTCTCAGTATTTTTATGCGGCTGAATGATGATTTCTGAGTTATTCATTATAGACTTCTGAACCACTCAGGAGTCCATGAGCTCTTTATGAGCCATATAAAAGGATACAGACTCACTAGCAGAACAGTGAAATTCCCAGGAGGAAAGAGATTTGTAACTAAACTGAGATGGACAGAAAAAGAGGGAGAAGCTAAACTTCAGAAGGGCTGGAATAAAAGCAAATTCTTTAATAGCCTAACAATGATCTAGACTCCTGCAAGTCAGGAACAAAGCAGGCTATACTGAGGATGTTTAGAAGAAAGCACAGGACTATCATGCAAAATTTTATTTCATATCTAGTTTGGCACCAGGAGAAAATAGAATGTTTGTTTTCTAGGTCTTTCTTAAAACAGTGACCCTAAAAGAAACATTCCCGCTATCTTCAGAGTACCCACTCATGTTATTGACATGCAGGATACTCTCCCAAAGAAGAGTCATTTGCTCAAAATAGTCTGTTTACAATCATCAGGGCATACAAGTCAAAGTGAAAGAGAGCAAAATCATTATTTCCAAGAAGCTACAAGCCAAAGAATTTAAAGAAGATGCACAGACAGAAGTTGTACATACTGTAAATGCCTAGGCCTCTTAATAAACACCTTGGGATTCCCAGACTGGTTAGGAAAACATTGCATAGCAAAGCTGGCTCTTACAAAGAAACAGTTAGATAAATGCCACCTGCTGATTGCAAAACTGGCTAAAACTTAGTGGGATCCATGCCTTTTACAAGATCCAGCTTATTTTCCTACCTGGGAGCAAAGTCTGATAGAGCTGCATATTAAATAGAATGGGACAGAGCCAAAGTTGGCTAAATAATGGAAATGTATTTGTGAATATTTATTCAGTGAATATATTGCCAAAATTCACAATATTATTGATAATTAATTATTTAATCGGCTCCAGACAAAACTCCAACAGAATCCCTGGCTGTACTGTTCTGCCAACAAGTATTATGCATGCATAGCACTCCCTCCGCAGTGACTGCAGAAATGTGCTCTGATTGCCAGTCTCCAAGAAAGGATTTGACTCTGCTGCTATCAGCTGAGTCAAAATTTCACGGTACTGATAGAGCTCCTCAGTCAGGGATGGACTGAGTCAGGCCTGTGGGCAGAACTTGGGACAGAGAAACACCATACCACTATGCCCATACAGAAGCCCATGTACAAACAAATGGGTGCATATGGGATATCTGTTAGCATGTGGCAGAGTTTCTCCAGGTAGATATGTGCTCTGTAGAAGCGTGCATGGGCTTATGCAGCTGTGGTGCAGTGAGGGCACATACGTGTTTTTGGCAGCTGCGCGTTGGGGTAGACATGTGCGTGCTGTGTGGGTTGTCCTACCTGTGCCTTTTGGGGCACTGTTCTCCATGAACTGTCTGGGGAAAAAGGATATTCCACAGGGCCCTGTCTTTTGTCTCTTCCTGTACTTTCTCATTTTCAGATAACCTTTTCCACAACGAGGTCCTTATGTTGCCAGGGTGTGGGACGCCTGTTGCACAACTGTGTAGAACTGCACATTGCTGCCCGGCGTGGCTGCAGGTGTCTGTCCTCCTGCCTGTGGCATCAGCCCAGGGACCTCTGTGCCTCTTCCCATGGCATCTGCAGTTCACTGGCAGCAGTTGCTCATTTTGGCCAGAGGACTCTCACACCCAGATCTGCTGTTTAAGCAGAGGGCAGAGGCAGTGTTCAGTGAGAGAGTCCTGCATATTTCAGGCAGGTTTAGGGACATTTGTTCCAGGCAGCACCTAGTTTGTTGATCTTGCTTGTCTTTATCCCATGCAACACACATAATTCAGGTCAGCCCTTTACTCTCTGCCCTGGCCTGCTCAAGCACATGCTGTTTCCAGATCAGGTCACACATTCCCCTCTCTTTCCTACCACTGTTGAGCCTGTTCTTTCCATTAGGGTTTAATAAGAGGCCCACCAGCCATAGCTATCCTGGCCCTCCAGTCACTGCTGCAGCCAAGGTCAAGCCTGGGGCAGGAATTGTCCACAAATACAGACACTGGAGTGAAGGGAAGGAAAGAACAATAAGAGCCATTTACTTCCCAATGCACTTGAGTGCTTGAG